AAGTATATGGCTTCATCCAATTTAGCTACGTAATCCTTTTCACGAATCGATCTCATACTGGCAGTAAGCCCCTTTGCAGCCTTAATCGCTAAAATCTCGAGTTTAAAAGCTGCCATGGATTTTTCCATAAGGACTAGCATATGGTGATGGCGAATACTAATTTAATTTTTATCATTTATTTTATATCCTAAAATATTTGTCGAAAGCTTTATCCAAATACTACCTAGCAATCCATATAGCCATCAATATATAGGAGACTTAGAAACGAACATTATTCAGTTGAATGTGAATCTTGATAGCACTGAGAAATCTATTCATTTTATGCATAACAAATAACATATTTGTTCTTATAAATTGACTGTGGTGTCTTAAGTAAGATGGGATTTCTGTCTGTAATGAAACATTTCATACCTTTTTAGTTATTATAGAAACCGGATATCTTGTTTAAATGCTGTACCCAGTTATAGTTTTTTATTTTTTATGGTAATTAGCAAAGCTATTACGGAAGGATTGCTTTAGTTTTAGTCTACCTTAGAGTTAACTATGTTGTGTCCAATAGACAAATGCATTATCAACAACTAAAAATATCCTTTTAATTCAAGGCTATTAAAAAATATTATGTTTTAAGATTGTTTTAATTAACATGTTCCTACCTTGCCATAAGTAATAGTTGGCCGATCGAGTTTAGCACATATAATGCCTTGGAGACTAGGTAGAGTCCGGCAAGGTAGCTACTTGACCTTGGAGAGCAGGGTCGTGGTCCGGGCACCCGGGATCGATGACTTGTCTGAATCGGCACTACAGACGGCCATCCCTGAGTAGTCTCAACGACAGTTGATCCTGCTGTCGGATAGGCCCCAATAGCTTTGCTCTCTTCAATTTCTCTTGTTGTATGTCCAATTTCTTTGGCCACTTGCACCCTCCCTAATTTGGTGTCAACCTCCGTCGGTCGTATCTCCAGGGCCAAGACAGCTTTGGCGGAAACAGAGGGCTTTGATATATACGTTGTTTTATCGTGTCTCGTTGATATAGCTTGGCCTTCAGCCTCTCTTGTAGCATCCAATGTTAACTCGCGATTTCTACTTTTCTCCAAGTTGGGCGAAAATTGACGAACTTGATAATATTCCTGCTGTCGGTGTCTTGATTGACTTGTGGTGCTTTCTTTATTGGTATTCACTGTTGAAGTTGGTCGTGGTGACTGATGGCGCTGTTGATAGCGACGTCGGCGATGTCTCATAGCTAATGCATCTTCCAAGTGGCGAACTACATAGCTCAAATTCTCCAGCCGTGTTTCAGCATTCTCTTGAAGGTTTGCAGCCTCACTTGTGATCTCCATAATCGTCCAAATCTTGATTAAAATAGTACAGGAGTGAATTTTAGGGGAAGATAGGTAAGCTAAAATTATTTAGCTTTCTACTGGGAGCATTCATATTCCTTATCTTAATGGCTGGAACAAGACATCTTAATATAATTTCTAATCAATTGGTAGTAATGGCTTCTTTGCATAGCTAAAAAATATTGCTTTATATCAAACTCGACATCTTTAATATTAAAGCAGGCGTTTTTAGATATTCACATTGATATCGACAATGATATTATACCGGTTAAATATTCGTTTATTTTTATACATATATTCCTCACCAGGCGATTTATAAATGTAACAGGAGCAAGATAGAGAATTTAACCCTCGCATGTTTACTCGAACAAATTAAAATTTTGCTTTTGGCTGGATAGTCATCCAGGCAATATTCTTACGTTAATTCCTTTTTTTTATTGTATTGCCTTTTTTCAAGGCAAGTTGACAATTATAGTAGTAATATTTTAAATGATAAGTCATATTTATAGTACTATGAATCCAGCAGTTCATAGCTATGCGATCATTTATTTCTTTTCTCGGAAAATTATTACCCATTTAAGAGCCTTGGGCTTGCTCTTCGGTAGAAAAACTTATATCAAACACATGAAAATCATACTTATTTCATAATCAAGTCTGTTATAGGCGTCTCGCACGTCTAACATCATTATAACATTTCATAAATATAAACAAATCACTATATCGCGAAGTTAGATTTTCCAGTTTATAGTAGCGTCTCTATTATACAGATATTGTAGCTCGTTATAGCATGGCTAATGCACGTTAACAATTCAGAGATTCGTTGATCATTACTTAATAAACCCTTGATTATAATCCATAACCACGAAACTGTCATAGAAAATGCTAGGTCGTAATCAGATTTTTTTATCCACCTGGATAAGAGGCACAGTGATAAGGAAAATTTAATTTGCACTTGTACCTTTTGCTACTTTCAAATTGGTATAGGATAGACGCGGGGGAGGCTAGAGCTAGTTGGCTAAAAATAGACGTTTTGATCATAAACGTGGTCCATAAAGCACGTCCATTCTTAGGCAATTAGCTCTAGCCTCTACACGACTATCCTGTTTCTAACCCTAATACCAAGTCTATGACTTCCTATATCCTAGTCTCTTGTGTGCCAACCCACACATATTGTGGTTCAACATTGAACCTAATGAAAGCAAGCAGGACCGCAACATTTATGGGTTAGCACACAAGAGACTAGGGCATAGGACGTCATAGACTTGGTATTAGAGATAGAAACTGGATAGACGCGGCTGAAAGTAGGTCTGTTTTACCATAGACAGGGTCCATGAAGCAAGGGATTGACCATGAGAATTACTCAGGGGCCTTAGCCTCGAGTTAGTCTCCCAGAGGCAGTTTGGGAAATGACGCCTCGAGTAGCACGGATTGGGTGGCAAGGGTCGAGTGAAATACTTGAACCAGGGAGATAGCAGACGGATCCTACGGGGCAAGAGGTAGACTATGATAGGATCTATGGAAGGAGGACTACGTAACAATAGGGCAGACACTGACCAACACAAGGGTGAATGGGGATGAGAAATCCAGCGTGGAGTGTGGAGTGTTCTAATGAAATCAGCTCAAAAGGACACACCGTACCACATTTAAATTAGCAAGAAGAATTGTGATTATAAAGTT